AGCCGAATGGATTCGAAAACGGTAAAACTCAACTGTTTAACTCTAGGGGAGTTGGAAAATGAGCCTATTTTCAAAAATAGTGGAGTGTTCCTTTAATACCGACTTAATCTTCAGCAAAAAAGTGAATTGCACTGACTCTCGCGAGAAGTGAATCCAACTGACGCTTTGCTGATGCTCTCCACGTTCCGTGTGATTGGCTGTTTGCTGCACACGTCACACTTTCAGGCGTCAGCACGCGCTCCAGAGTTAATCACAAACTCTGGTTCAAACTCACCGAGAATGTTTATCTCGAGCTTTGTGAGCCCGCTGATCCTGATCTAAACCAGGTTGGATTTGTTTGGATTTGTCAACTCTAACCCTACTCTGAAACTCACTTCATGCTACAGGAAACACCATAACACAGACCTTCCCGGCCAGCAATCTCTACGACAAAGATAAGCACTCATTGCAGGTGGTCAGCAAAAACCACAAACACATCATGACAGGGCAAGCTAAAACCGCAACAGAGATCTAAACAACTAGCAAGACTGTTAGGCAGACACTCACCAATAAGCCAGACCTCTATTGCTGGCTTTACTACAGTCTCTACCTCCATGATCTTAGCCTGCCAGTCAGACTACAACTCCTGACTCAATGATAAAGTGGGGGGGGAGGGGGCGGAGAAGCTTCCTATATTATATGAGGCAGACCTGACACAGGGTTTGGTCTTTAGGTTAAGCGAAGGATGATGGCCAAGGAGAGATGGGAGAAACATCTAAAGGGCTGGACTCACCATCTGTGACTCAGTGAGGTATGGGGCCTGGGCTTTCACATTTTAAGTGTACTAGCATTAGTTTAGGAACAGAAGGTGGCCACTGTGAACAAATGTTCAGTTTTGGAGCCATCCTGTTTTCCGTTTTATGAAGCCTTATACCTCAATGGCATTATTCCCAGTTTCCTCTCACAGATACATTAACACATCTTCCCCCTTGCATTCTGTTTAATCTTACTATTAAGAAGAAACGGTTGCCTCGCTGAGTCATCGGGTCAATCCATAAACTTAAATATCCCCTTCCTTCACTGTATTGCTGAGCAGTTACCACATATTGCTCCTGGCAGACTGCAGAAAGTATACTGTTAGTTGTTTTGCTTGTTAGTAAGTTTAGGCATTGCATAACGTTTTATTTCCACTGTATTTCACTTCTTGCATTAATAATTGTGAATCTAACTGGCTCTACTGGAAGTTTCAAAATTAAGGATTTTCTGAGGTAACCAACTTTTAAACAACGTCAGAGCAAATTCATAATCTAAATATTTATATAATTATAAATCTTCATTAAATAGTAATAATTATTTTTTTAACTATATTGTCCAACACTTGCAGCAAGGAAAGGCTGCCTGTGAATAATAAACGGAATAGTGTTGTTTTCATATCCGTGGTTCATTAACTAATGTTAAAATTTATGTTCTGTATTCAAATATTAACAGATTCCTGTCAGTGCAAAATAATCATAGGATCGTTTAATATTACAAAGCTTTTTTTTTAATTGAAATCACATCAGACTTTTTGACAACGGATATATTTAAAACCAACTGTATTTCCATTAATACTTTTCACAAACTGCTTAATCTTGCTTATGCATATGAATTTGACCTGACCTGTCAACCGTTTACTTTGGCAATTTCAAATTCACATTGTGACCACACCAGTTAAAAAAAAAAAAACGCACATAGCAACAAACAATTTTTTTAAAGCGCAAAATTGCCTCACTATTTCAAAACAAATAAACAAAAAGGCCAATGTTCATGTTACATACATTTTAATCAAGCAAATGTCAAAAAGCTCAGGACAGGATCAGGCTAAAGAACATCGTCAGGGTTGTTCCAGAATATGTAGGTTACACAAGCTGTTGTTAAAGTGTTACAAATGGGACACAATCTATAGGGGTTACTAGTGAGGCATTAACACTTAAAGATCACATTGTTACATAAGAGAGATGAGTTAACCTGAGGAATGTTTGAGAAATCTGGTTGAAGCAGGAACATGTAGGTCTGAGACAAAACTATTATACAACTGGAACTGTGATATTTCAATCTCTTTGTCACATTATTTTTTCCCCACAAAAATGTTAGCTATATTAAAACTAGTTAATCAAAATGTTACACACTGCACAAGTCAGTAATTCTGCAATTCATCATATGGCACTTTAAAAATAAGGTCACAAATATAAACTTACATCATCAAGATCTCATTTCACATTTTCCCACAAAGCAAGAGTTTCCCAACTTTGGTGTTTGTCACCTAAAAGCTTAAATATCTTTATTTTAGAAGAAAATATTTATCTCCCTCTTTTCTTAAAAGTTAAGGCTCTAGAAATTGCATAATTTCTCAAGCATAACAAATGTTAACAAATGTTAAATATAATTTCCAAAACTATGCAAATTCATTTTAGAAACCAAACTGATCAGTAATGGCCTCCGTCTGTACCATGAAAAACCCTGAGGTGCTCCCTTAACACCATGATGTTATATAAGATAAATGGATTTGAAAATGGCTATAAAATATAAAATATTTATCGGTCACGTACAGTATAAGAAAATGTCATAGATATGTGAAAATTCTCTTCGCCAACATAAACATCCTGATTGAGACATAGTACCACTCATTGTACAATATGCTGTATGTACCATCTTTTCTGATTACTACAGAACTTTTCAACGTTGCAGTTGCTGTCAGTGAAAAGTCATAAAAACACTTAATTTTGTTAAGGCAGGCGTACACGGTGCGATTCTGAAGGTCGGAACGTCGTGAGCTCTGGCACATGTCACGATTGAGTTTATCCGAAAATCGTACGGAGGCAGTCACACACGACACGAATTTACTACGATTTTACCAACTCTGACATAAGCATTACGTTTCGCTCCATTCATAAAAATATGGATTCTGAGGACGAAATAGTTTTCTTTGTGGCAGGCGGCTTGTGACGTCCAAAAAAAAAAAAACAAGACAAAGGACATGGCAAAGAGAATGGCTGAAACGCAGAGAAAAGCATGGACTTTCTGTTCTTCATAAAGAACTCGAGGGAGTAGGCCATTTCTGAATTTCTGCTCGTTTTGCCGGAAATACAACAGGCATATTCATTCATAAAGCTGAATGGCAAATTTGACACATTCGGAATAACTAATAAAAAATAGAACTGTATAATTAAACTAAAAGTATTATATGGTTTTTGTCATCTTCTGATTGGTCAACTTCAGATGGATCGCCAAATCGTCTCGTTCAACCTCACATACGCGTATAATTAAACTAAAAGTATTATATGGTTTTTGTCATCTTCTGATTGGTCAACTTCAGATGGATCGCAAAATCGTCTCCTTCAACCGCACATACGCCACGAATTTAAACCGACAGCATCCGATTTTTTTTTACATGTTTGAAAATTATCGGGAGGACGGGAGGTGCTCGTAATGTCTCGGATCGGCCCGTAATTCTTCTCACACGGTACGAGCCGCGACCATGCGAGCATCTGCGATTTTCTTCCGAGAGAAAAAAAAAATCGCCTGCGAACTCGTACGACAGCAAAAATCGCACCGTGTACGCCCGCCTTTACACAGGCATTTCGAATACATTTGAACATTTTATAAAAGCTGAAAGTCACGTTGTTTATAAACATCACACTGTATACTGAATCCCTGAATCACAGTAAATCCTATAACAAATTGCAGCTTTATTCAATACTGGATACTATATGACAGCAACGTGTAATAAACTTGAGATAAAGAGATAAAAGAAAACCACACGCAACTCATTTACTGGTGGTGATCTCGGAATCAAACAATAACTGCAGGTCAAGATAAATTCACGCAAATAGAACAGTAGTAAAGGCTCATGTGGAGAACTCTGAATGCCTGCTCAATCCTCACCTTTCCCTTCTTCTTTTTATCCCCTCCAAAGAACTTTCCGATCTGATCCATAACAGTAGGGTTCTTCTTACTGCGGCCCAGCCTGAATGTTGACTGCGAAGAGCTTGCAGATGCCATGCTGAGTGTTAGCTTTAATCTCTGCAGCGGTGTGTTTTTTTGTTTGTTTCCAAAATAGGAGTGAGGAAAGAGAGGGCAAAGAGGAAATCTACTTTAGGTCCTACTCTGCACACTCAGATTCACAATCTGAGCCAGCTCCGCCGTGCTCCTGGATGGTCTGCAGCTCATCAGACTCCGAGGGGCGGTCTTTGAAGGTGTTGTCCTCACGATCTGGGGCATCTCGAGAAAAGAGGCGGACCAAGTGGGGGCGGGGCCCTGAGGCATTAGGGTCGGCTGTGCTCGGATGGTTCCAGCTGCTGAGATCTACTGCAGCGTTCATGGAGTCAGTCACCATTGGACTCTTGCTGGAGCATCCATTGTTCTGGTTGAGGTCCGCCTCCCCCAGTCCTGCACAGAAACATCGGGAGTTATCTGACATTTCACAGTAAGATCATTGTCATCATCACCTACCCCAACACCCCCCACCCCCAGCCCCTGCTGCGCAGGCAACAAGTGCTACAGATTCTCTCACAAAGTCCAAAAAAATACAAAAATTAAAACAACATTCATTGCATTACCAATCACTTTTCTTTGACAAAAGATCCAGAAGCACTGTAATAAACATGAGAAATTATGGAAACTTTGCCATTTGTAATAAATTCATAGAGGAGTAGTTTTTATGATTCTGTATATTTTTCATAAAAACGTACAGTATATACGTTAACAGATCTAGAGATTTATAGATTTCAGAGCAGTGCTTCCTCAGGAGGTCGTCAGGTTTGAACCCAGTGCAGCGAGACAAAGCCGCTACTGTACCACACAACACAAGAGAATCTGAATTCTAGTGTTTCTCACAGAGCTTCTTTGTGCCACCACAACGTTATTGTAGAAGGACAAAAGAAACAGTGTGACTGTAATAACTTCCCCAGGCTGGATTTTGCGAATTCTCTGCAAAGTGAAACTCATCTCATTTCTGAAGTCCATTTCGTGAGGTGTGGCTGGTCCAAAAAGAGACAAAAGGTTGAGGCAACTACTGAAAATGCTTCTATTTTCTACACACATTATATTATTAGCCTAAATGTATTTGTCAGAAGTGGAATTTCAGAGACATCTTGTGTGCTTTAGTGGAAGCAAACAAACCACACCTTCTATACAAATGGGTTACCAGTGTCACAAATGTGTTTACATTTGATTAGTGGCCTTAAACAGTCCAAAAAATAAACCTTAAGCAGACTGGATGTCCGCTTTAAAATGTTGTTCAATATCTTAAAAGTTACAAATTTGCAGTTGAGACAAATTATTGCCCTTTTAGTCAAGTCAATTTATTTGCATTGCACTTTTCGGAATACAGTTTGTTTCAAAGCAGCTTTACAAAGTTTCATGATGTTATAATTGTTCACATTTAGCAGTTTAGAGCTGGGTGACAGTATAGTTTACATTTGTTGATGATATCAAATAAAATCAAGCGGATGGGATTTGCTTTATAGCATGTATATAATGTGTGTTATGCGGTGATAACAGCTTTGAAAAAAAAAATGTTTCTAAAAGTAATTTTCAGATGCAACGGGGGAAAAAACGGGATAAACACAAACATGAAACTTGTAAATAAAATAATCTGATATATAGCCTATGTACAATTTAATAACATATAGCCTAGTTTGATATATGAATTGGGTGTTCGTCAAAGATTGCATGCGGTCGGAGATTCCCGTGTTTACAGCTCCATAAAATAACCTACTGGAAGCTCTGTAGTTTTGCTGTATAGGCCTATAGATAAAAATATAAAAATTACAAACACACAACATTTTGAGTTACTTCCATTTCTGAAAAAAAGAATGTAGGCCTAGTAATTGATGTTATAAATACACACCCCTGATTTTTGTTTTAATTATCCATCGTACATAAAAAAAACAACAGCACCGTTCTTATTTCGCTCTGCATAACCTGAACGGAAAAAAAATTTTTTTTTGCTAAGAACGAACTGAAATTAAAACATTTCGCTTTTAATCTGTGTATTTAACAGCCTGGGAAACCTTCCCAGGGCAGTACCTTGCCTCACCGACTAAAATCAGGGCGCCCACTACGGAGACGGCACCAGAGGTGAGGGGGCACAGTGACCGAGGTGGCCGGGCCGGGCCCCCTCAGCCCCCACCCCGTGGCGCCGACGCTGTAAAACAGTCACGTTGTGTGAAAGAAACAGCAATCCTACAACTTTGAAAATTGCGTATGAAATGTTAGTGGATTTATACCTAATAGATAATACATAATACAAAATATCAAACAAAGGCAACAGTGGCAAAGAACAAAAAACTCCAGTAGATTATTCTTGGATAATGGAGAAAAAAGTAAATGAAGAAAAAGTAAATTCATGCAGTACAATTGCTAGAAAGTCAATAGATAATTAAAGCATTTAGGCTAAACAGTCATGTTAGCAGTAATTAGCAGGCTGATCAACTAAAAACAAATACATACTGAGCTGGGCACAGGAACTTCATGTAAACCCATACAAGAGTATAGTACCTCGACAGAATGTGGTATAGAATGGTATTATGAATGATCTTCCATGTAACTCTCAAGTACAACCAGATTTATAGCTAGAATATGAATAAACCTCTTTGGTGCCCCTCGACACTGCACCCTAGAGTGCACCCTTTTCACTCCTTTTACCATGTTTCTGCTATTTAAATGCCATTTAAAAATCCCTTACAAATGCAGGTTACAATCTGCCGAGGATTTAGCCATCAAACCCACTGTTCTCTCAATGACACCGTAAGCTCAACGTATACTTAAGTTTTTAATGCTTACAGAGTGAAATTATAGCCTTTCAAAAGTTTACTCCATTTGATAGTGTGGTGTGCTAGGAATTTATCCTTTTCCAGTGTCTGTGCTATTTCTCCATTTTGATTATTAGCATTGATCATTTAGTGCCAACCAAAACAATATGCATCTACCTCAACCGGACACTATGAATCATTTGCCAGTTTTCGCACAGACGACATCTTTTAGTTTTGGGCAAGCTCAATCATTTGTATGCTTGTTTCGAGGAAAATAACACCATCTTTGCGGAAAGGGCTCCTGTGGCAGATGCTGCAGATCTTAGTATATTCTATTTCTCTGTAGCGGACATAACCTAATTCTTCAAACAGTTGTTGGCCATGAGTCCAGACTGCATTCCAGGCCATGTCCACAAAGCATGCATAATAAAACCAGCCTGTTTTCTCTTTGCATCTTCAACATCTCTCTTTCACGGTCTGTGGTCGCTAAAGGTTGTAAAATGGAGGCGGCCAGACCTGCTCCTGGAAGACTACCATCCAGAGTTCAGCCTCCTGTGTTCCCAGCCCACTTCTTGAACATTACTTCCGTCTACACCATCGTTTTACAACCCTATTCCTGGAGGCACAAAAACAGCACACATTTTGGATGTCTCCTTATTCTGACCCATCCTTTTCAGGTCTTGGAGACACTAATAACGAGCGAATTAGATGTTTGATTAGGAAGAGTTTGAAAATATGTACACTGCTTTAACCCCTGCATGTGTGGCCACACATAGCTTGAAGTTTGACAACAAATTTGCTCATGATATGATGGTAGCATGTCTGATCACAGACAGTGACAAGACATATGTGCAAAATCTCAAAATCATTTGTACAGGTGCATCTCAATAAATTAGAATGTCGTGGAAAAGTTCATTTATTTCAGTAATTCAACTCAAATTGTGAAACTCATTGACATTCTAATTTATTGAGATGCACCTGTATATCATACACTAGGGTGGGTTTAAATTAAGCACGATTTGCAATACCGTGATAATCATATTGTGTTGTGGTATACGGTCCTGCCTGAAGTATGCATACAAGGGTTGGACAAAATAATGTGAACACCTGAGAAATATGCAGTATTTCTTAATTAAGGTATTTTACCACCATTTGCCTTTAATGCAGCTTCCAACCTTTTTGAATAGATTCATAAAACTTGTCAATTGTCTCCAGTTTAATGTTTTATATCAAAACACCAGAGATGTTGGAGGAGTGAATCGACTTCTTACTCTTATCTCCAAACCACTGCCCACAGTGGTTTTAAAATATTCAAGCCAGGTGACTGAGCTGGCTAGGGCAAGTCGGTGATGTTGGATTTTGTAAAAACAGAGTCTTCAAGATCAATATGAAGTTTGCTGCTACTTTTGCTACAGTAATTCTGTGTTGTTTGGATACAAGTCTGATGATGCAAAGGTCTGAAGAAGTCTTGCCATGCTGCATGTATGCAGTCATAATCAAAAACGCTGTTGTTCTTAAAACACCCAAACATTTGGGCTGTTAAGGTGTTAAGGGCAAGTGCTTAAGGAAGCGTGTGTCTAAATGGAACGCACCCAGAAAACAAAAAGGCAAGTGTGTTGGGGCAGGTTGGAGCTAAACTCTGCAGTACACTGGTCCTCCGGAGCAGGACTGGACACACCTGGTTCAGGGCCTTTATCAACAGTGTAACCATGTTCTGTAGCAGGAGCCATGAGTTCATCTCACTTGCTATTTTTGCCCTACTTTGAGGAATATTATAGTACGTACATATCAATCTAAGTTGTATGGACTTTGTATATGAAAAGTTGAATGTCTGGACTGAAGCAACTTAGTTATTATTTGTTTGTACACAGAGTTTTCCTTTTTTATTCATCTGCTGTGCTGAGTTTCTGGGTCGGGGAACCACTCGTTTCACCCTGAAGGCTCTTTGGATTGGTTACATTAGTGAGGTTTCGTTTATGCTTGCTTTGGACTTTGAACTGTATTCTTACTGCAAACAACAACATACTGTGTACTGCCTCATTGGTGAATTTCCTGTGCCTTCTAGTGTTGGGCGATATCCTCAATTTTCATATCGTCAGCCAGTGAGATCGCCGATACACGATATTATCCTGCTAATTTATATAATTATTTACTTAAAGGGGTCATATGCTGCTAAAAAGAACATTATTTTGTGTATTTGGTGTAATGAAATGTGTTTATGCATATTTTAAAGTTCAAAAAACACATTATTTTCCACATACTGTACATTATTGTTTCTCCTCTATGCCCCGCCTTTTTGAAACGCGTCGATTTTTACAAAGCTCATCGGTCTGAAAAAGCGA